GAGAAGCCAACAACAGTGCTTCCGAACCACCCAGAACAATTCCTGAAAGGCTCTCTTAGACACCTCTACCCCCGAACTCTGGAGGAGATTATGAAGAAGCCGTATATACAGGCTTTCAGCTGATGGGGAATTCCCCATGACTCTGTTCTGAAAATCCCGGACGTTTCGCTTTCCCTCTAGCATACTATCCCCCTCTGGTCCTGTACGGACCCTGTACTCACCTTCAAGTCCCTGTTTGGGCGCCAAATGTTGTCAGTGATCTCTGTCAGGGATCAGGGATGAGACAGGCACACAGGATGCAGGTGCAAGATGAAGGAACAGAGAGCTACAGCTCGCTCAGGCAAGTAGCAATCACTCTGCTGTCCACATCATTTTTATTGTGCTGTGTACAAAGAAATACATGACTGAATCTACAAGGCCAGAACGATAACAATTTTTACAAAAGACAGCTGTGTTCTTCTTTAAGCTCCTAGAAAAGCTAATCTTGGTCTTTTTAACCCATAAGGAAAGGAAGTTCATGTTCCAAGAACACTCAGTACTGTTTGTAGTCTTGAGCTAGACATGTCCCGTTTGCAGGACACATCCTCATCTTGGCAAGCCATCAACTTCCATGCCCTCAGTTATCCTCTACAGAAATATATTGTAGACCCATGTTCATAGCAGCATTATTCACAATAGCTAAAAGTTATAAGCAACCCAAATGTCTATCAACAGATGAATGGATAAGCAAAATGTGGTACATACGATGGAATATCACTCAGCCTTAAAAAGGAAGGAAATGCTGACATATGCTCCAACATGGATGAACCTTGAGGATATTATGCTATGTAAAATAAGCCAGTCACAAAAATACAAATACTGTATGATTCCACTTATATGAGGTATTTAGAGTAGTCAAAATCATAGAGACAAAAAGTAGAAAGGTGTTTGCCAGGGGCTGGAGAGAGGGGAGAATGAGAAGTTAATATTTAATGAGTATAGCTTTCAGTTTTGCAAGATGGAAAGAGTTCTGGAATTAGATGGTAGTGATGATTGTACAACATTATGAATATTTAATAACATTGAACTGTATAGTTAAAAATGGGTACATAAATTTTACATCAG